ATGCAATAATGACCTAAAAACTAGTAGTGTTTGGCATCTTGCCTTAAGTCAAATTGCTGAAACTTTCCGTACCTTAATGAAATATTCGAGTAATATAAAATGTTTTTAAATAGATTATTATAATTATTTGAAGTATTATATATAAGTCATGGTTAGAACTTTAGCTAGAATTAGAATTAAAAACCAAACAATTTTTCGATATTTAACTTTTTTTTTTTGAAAATTAAAATATTTTTTACAAATATTTACAAAAATCGTCAATATCGTTACAAATATTACCCCAAAAGTAATCGTTTCGTCAACAATAGCAGAAAGTTTTTTAAATCATTCAAATCGGATGCTTAGTTCTCTCAAAAACTGTCATTTTTTGCGCATTTAGTTCTGTATCTCCGAAACGGTTCGACCTGTCTTTACCAAAATCTAATCACCACTTCTCCCCATCATTACGAATCGAATGTTTTTTGGATCATTCAAATAGGTTGATCCATTCTCTTAAAAACTGACATTTTTAGCACTTTTTGCTCCGTATCTCCGAAGCCGCTGGACCTGCCTTTGCCAAAAACTAATCAGCACATCTCCCTATCGATAGAAATCGATTGCTTTATGAATTTTTCAAATTGGTTCATCCATACGCCCGAAATCGTCGACGAAAAATTGTCTCTACACATCCATCAATTTTTTCTGAGGTATGCCCAAATGTTCAGAAACCTCTGAAACGTGAAGATATGCAAAAAAAATTCATTTTTGATTTTTGGCCCATTACTATAACTTCCTCTACGAGAATTTAAAAAATTCTTGTGATGTGATTGTTTGTTTGTTAAAATAGGTAGATGTCTCGAAATTCTGACGATAAAAATCATTTAAATATCCGTTGTATTATTTTTTTTAGGTCCCAAATCCGGAAAATGATAAATAAGGGTAGTACCAAGAACAGAATAGGGTATGAAAATAATAAAATAAACTTATTAAGGTCGTATTAAAATAATTTTTGATAGGAAGAGCAAAAATATTTGGAACTGCGGAGAAAAATTTTGTATAAGATATTATTTGTAGGAATTTCATTAGTAGATAAAATATTGTTTGACTCCGAAATTAGCATCTTCAGAAATATTGTTGAATCTTTGATCCTGAAAATGGTGCTGTGTAATTGACGATCACTCAGTTTTCTAACCTATAGTGGGAGTAGATCAAAAAGTTATGTTTAAAAATTGGTCTTTTTATAATCAATTTTTTTATTTTATAATAGCAATTCGACATGGAAGATCAGTTGAAACGTTAAGCATTATCATTATATATCAGTATCCAATTTTTACTAGGTCACAGGTGGACGATTAATTTTTGAACTTCAGCCAAATACTCATGTGTCCAAATGTGTATTTAACTTAATTAGAAAAGTTTTTTTTTAACTTATTGTAATTGCTGTAATAAGATGCTATATTTTTATCACAATTGGTTTAATTAATAATGTGACAACGACTCAATAATATAATGAACATTAATTGCTGTACTAAATACAGCAATTAATGTTTTATAATTAGTAATTATGATGCTAATCGAATCGTCACGCAAGTAGCTTGGGATGACCTAATTTATTTTAGACGACGACGATATTTTGTTCTCAATATAATTAATGATTCAAATGTTTTAAAAAGTGGTTTTCAACAAATTTATTAAAACAGAATATTAAAATCAATTTTATTATTTTATAAAATCATTTACAATTTTGAAGAATAATTATGAATCATATAATCATTTTTAACATTTTGTTTATATTTCATTTACTGCTATATTCATTATAATCAAATTACATTATAATCGAAAGTGGAAACTAAATTATTTAATGTTTTAAGATGTATCAGAATACTGAAAAATTTAAAAATAATTAATAACTTTTCAAAGTTTAAATAATTTCATATTGTTTTTTATTCTATTTGTGCGTTAAATGTTATATTTCAGATATAATCCATTAAGTCTATTTCTAATTAGATTGAATAGTCTAATTTTTTGTAATACATTTCTAATAAATATTTGAAATAGTTATTAACAATTTTAATCGATGAAATTAACTATTAGTAAACTTCATTAATAGATAAATCATTGATTTAGTGAATGAAGTTATGTAATAAAAATAACTTGATGAAAACTTTACTATTCCTTTGATATTTAAGTCTACTACTAATTAATGGAATGCCCTAATTTCTTGCAATAAATTTTAAATATTAATTATTAATTTTAATCAAAGAATCAAATATTAGTCAACTGAGTTAATACATAAATTTTTGTTTTGTTTATAAATGAATTTATAAAATTGGAAGGAATAAAAATATCAAGATGAAAACCCTACAATTCGTCTATTATGATGTTTAAGTCTACTACTAACTTAGCGATACCTTAATTTGCTGTAAATATTTTCCAGCAATTATTTGGAATAAATAATATGAATTTTAGTCAGTGCAATCAATTATTAGTAAATACATGTATTTTCCTGTATAGTGAAGGAACTGCGTTTACGCCAGACTAGGTCTTTTGTCTCGGTATGTCGAGCTCAATACCGCCTGGGTATAATACCGAATAAATCCTCCATATGTTTGTGTATGTTTTTATGTATGCATATGCATATACAACTGAGAGCGGAAACATGGAAATATACATTTTAATATAGACATTCGCCATAATTAGTCAAGTACATGAATCAAGTGTTCAGATTGTTTTAAATTCCCAATCACGATTTAATAACAGGACGTCAAAGTGATTGCTTGCGAATTTTATATCTGTTATATGATGTACTGAAATCGATTTTTATTGCAGTCGGCTAAAGTTGTTTGCTCTTTGGAATGCTATTTATGTTTTTAGCTCGCCAGCCATTAAAACATCAGGCAGGTTGTAAAATCTGAGCGCGAGCAGAATCATTACCGACTCATAAACGAACTTGAGATTTCATTACTCGTTGAAATTTTACGTCACCGTTTATGCTACATTAATCTAAGGCCATAATTCATCCTGGATTAATAGCGTATTTGACATGCTATTAAGTGAATAAATAGCATATCTGGACTTTTAAATAGGAAGATTTACAATCGTCTAGTCCATTGCCGTATTATTGAATGCTAATGTTTCTCTTTAATATGCGTTGTTAAAAGGTTAATATATAGTATTTAATTATAATGATACGTATGTACGATTCGCAAGTCTTGCATAGAGCATAGTTATTCTGTGTATTGACCTCGTATACATACCGTTATCTGCATTATTATTTTATTTCCCACCGAAAGGTTGGTTTGTCGTAAATCTATAACTTAATTAATTCTAATGGAATTACCTCAATTATTGTTGTTTATTGCACGGCGCTAAACATGATGTAAAAAAGATGTAAGATAAGTAGCATCTTGCCTTAAGGCGATTTATATGAACCTCCTGATATCTGAAATTATTCAGGATATCTGAAAGTTTAACAAGAATTGAAATCTTTGGTTTTTAAAAATGGTCACCAATTTTTTTTGCAACTGTTAATTACAAACTAGATCGACTGTTATCAATTAAATATCAACACAGTTTTCAACTGAAAATTTTAGGATTTTTTGAGAACATTGATATATTATATTATATGCATATAAGACAGTGAATATCATATAAGACAAGAATATACATTATAAAAATAAACAGATTATTAAGTAGATATAACTAGGCTGTTCTTTGCTAGAAACTAATCAGATTTCCAACTATTATTCTTCAAAGCGTTTTTGATGTAATCATTGTTGATTATAAAGAAAACGATTTGATTGATCATTGATTGAATTCTGAGTTTTTTTCAATTGGCTTTAAAATATTTGAAGTTGGTGCACTTGTTTTGAAGACAAATGATTTAGAATAAAAAAAGACATAAAATTAGATCTTATTGTGGAATTTTTAGATCTTCTAACGGAAAAACACCCCCTTCGGAAATTTAAATATATTTATGTAGAATTACATATATAATGTATCGAAAATCGAAATAGTGTACGTATGATTTTTTAAGACGTGATAGTTGTTTAATTATTTATCGATGTTTTTAAGTTCAATGGTAAGGATGCGATTCATAAATAATTTCCTGTTGATTCTGGTACATATTAATACATATTATGAAAAGGTGAAAGGATGTTTAATTGTTGATGTAATATTCTTTATGGATTAACGTCAAAAAAAATTATTACTAGAGGTCGCTTTTTCTCATATATTCTATATATAATATGTATGTATGCAGACGTACATATATCTCATTACAGTTTCCATTTGTCTTATTTTAATTTTTGCTAGATGTGAGAAATTCTGGTTTACGAGATATCTGATTAATTCCAGCTATATACACAACTGATAAAAAATAGATTAAATTATCTTATAGAGTATTCCGACGCAAATTAAAGTGATTTTCTTTGATGCATCATAATTGCGGTTGCGTGATGCAATTGATAGCACGAATATAATTGCATGTGAAAGATATATTCCATGGGCAAGTAAAACTCACATATTATCGAGATAGATATAAAGGTGTCATTAACTTTTAATAAACTTTGCATTTTGATTAAACGGCTTCTCATAATTGGCTTTTATTTCAACAGCTATCGTGTAATGTAATTAAAGTCGTAAAAACTCTTACAAAACAATAACTTTCTGTGTTATTTTATATCTCGGAACAATAAGAAAACTGGATTTTTCTGACTAAAGATTTATCATCGGGTGTAGTGTACGAGTACAGACATATAGTACAGACGATGGATGTGTTGTATTGTTCATATTTTTCTTTCAAAATCAAAATATAATAATACAATGCTTAACCAAAGTTTATTGTTAAACTTTATTATAAGCATATTTTCAACCGTTTTAATTGATACACATTCTCAACTAATAATTGGAACAAAATATATATTATTTTTCAAGTTTCGATTATCCACTTTTATTTATATGATGTAGTAAAAATTTTTGTAATGATTTAAAGTATTAACCAATACTTTTCTTTCCACTAGGGATCCGATGGCGGTGGTTCCATGTTTGCATCTGTTCCGACCCCCTCTCCAGTGGCCCCAGCGGCGATTGTGCCGGCGGCAGCAGCGATTAGCAACAAGACGCCTTCTGCTCCGGATCAATCGCAACCGCCTCCGCAACAACAACAACCGCAGCAGCCGCAGTTTACTAACAATGTTACGGTGGCCGTCACGCCGGCGCCGACAGTCACCGCACCTTCGCCTGCGCCCGCCGCTTTGCCGCCACCACCTTATCGAGTACCGTCGATGCAGGTAAGAAGAATTATTGAACTAATTGGGCTGATCGATTATAGATTAGCTTTGATCGATTACTAGTCCTGTTGAAGTTGTCTATTTCATTAAGCATACGTGTCACTCATGTTTCTAATTTTAAATCTTATATTGTAGCAGATGACAGATCTGCGGCCTAGACACCAGTTCCCTACGCAACAGCAGCAACAACAACAACAAATTAACATTAATGGAGCGCTTAGTACGCCGATGCCGCTACTAAATCATAGCGCTGCAGGTATGTTGCGGCCTGCCTGCCCAAAACCAAACACCAAATTACCTGTTTGTACACCGTCTGGTGGTCAGGCACCTCAACAGCAACACGTGCAGATGCAGCAGCAAACGTGCTCCCAACCACTCCAAAGCTCTCCTTCCCTTGCTGCGGTGGTGACGTCGCCTGCTTTACCTAATGGCATTATGCACACACCGGGTCCAATGTTGCCAAGTGCTTCCAGTCAGTTGCCAGGTAAAATTGAATTTAATTTGTTTTATTATGACAATATACTCGTATAACATTAATTTGATATTGTGTATTTGAAGGTTTACCAATAGCAGCGACACAGCCCGCATCTCTTCCCGTGACTTTGCAGCAGCCACAGGTTGCGACGCCTGCCGCGCCACCGCCGCCGGCAAGGCCGCCGGGACTTGACGGATCTGCCCAGCAACCTCGAACTAATAGCCCCGCCGTCGCCACTAGTGCTGTTCCTGCAGCAGGTACATTTATATTTTTATACAAGCTTTATATTTTTTCAGTTTTGATTTCCTTTTGTAGACGTTTATGTTTTCAATTTGCAATTAAACTTTAATAAATTTCAGGACCAACAGCCTATCCAGGATATCTGCACCCACCGTTGTATGCACCATACGCGGCATCATTGCACAGTCCTTACCTTCCGGCGATACCTTCACCAGGAAAATCTGCCGCACCAGTCGCTCCTACGACCGTCGCACCTGCACCTAGTCCTATCCGGGAAAGAGACTGCTTTAGTAACAGGCAAGGATTTTTGATTAAATTTGCGTTCAATTCTGTTTTTCAGTTCTAACTTATTATTTACATTATTTAGATATTAGTTTTTATACAGTTTTGTAGGCGTATAATAACTTCATATTTTATTCAAATATTAAATATGTAACGAGTTTGCATTATCTATTTAGGTCTGCGAGTACTACACCACTATCTTCTAATTATGGTCCAGGATCGATATCTGGACCACAAGGGCCTTCCCCTGCGTTGCCTTACAGTAAAGCAGCTTCACCAATTACTGCACCCGTTGCTGTTACCACTTCTAGTCATACTTTCAATAACAAACCTCTCTGGTCCACGTAAGTATTTTTGTATATTTTTCTCAAATACTTATATCACAGTGTTGAAATAAGTTATAAATTTAATTTTGATTTTTAGTGTGAACAGTACGGGTCCTATGGTACACCACTTATCGCCAGTTCCGGTGCAGTCTTTAACGCGGCCAACGCCTCCGCCCCAACAGCAGCAGCAGACGCAACCGCAGCTTCAACCACAAATTGTTCCACCGCTCCTATCGCAGCAACCGCAATCGGCTTCACAGCCAATAGTACCTGCAGCAGCTACGGTTCAGACGCAAGCTGTGGCTCCTCCCGGACCTCTGGCTATGCCTGCGATACCGCCGACAAGTGTCTCCACTGCGTCTGCCTACAGTTCACCAATGTTTATCGCACCATTGCCGCCGCCCGCTCCAGTGCCTTCCCAAGTGACGCCCGTACCGCCTGCAGTCTCGGTGGCCGCGCCACCGGTCACCACGCCTGTTTCTACGCCGACGGCGCCTCTGCCATTTTCAGCGGAATCACTTTTCCAGTCAAGCAAACGCACAAGGGACGATCCATTCCAGATACCATTAAGTGAGTATCATTTTCTATATTCGTTCAAATTTTTATAATTTATTTTGATACTACGAAAATAAGTATGTACTTTTTTTCCTTTGTGTACATATTTTAACTAAATGTTATATTTTGTAGATCAAGCAGATATGTTGCGAAGGGAATTAGACAATCGCTTTCTGGCTTCTCAAGATCGTGCTGGAATTGGTGGCGTTGTTGGAGCACCATATTTGCGAACAGAAATGCATCATCATCAACATCAGCATACACATGTTCATCAGCACCAACAAGCGCCACCCTCCATCTTTCCTCCTCCTTTGGTAAGAATTATCTAAACTTAATTAAAGAATATATTCGTAATATGAGTATTTTAGATTGACTGTTTATCATAATATTACATTAGCAGATTAAGTGTTTGCCAAATTATTAGCTTTTAGATTGACTGGTTATAATTATATTATAGTTTAAAGACATTCCGAAGCTAAGTGCAGTCGAGTCGCCGTTCTATCGTTCCAGTTTAGGAATGGGTGTTGGATCTTATCCCAGTTATAGTTCTGGATTACTTCATCCCGGACTTGGGGTTCCCGCCTTTTGTACCCCCAAGTCATCTTCCTGCATTTACAACGAAGGTACAATATTCAATAACCCATAAACAAAATAATAAACAACAACAAAGGTTCAACTTTAATTCTTTAACATCACTATATTTCTTGTACTTTTTACTGTCATTATTATTAACTAATGTTAAATTTGATAAAGAGTAAGAATCTTAAAACTTGAGTTGCCATTGAATTACTAAATAGTGTAATTTTTTTAATATACTGTAGCGAAAATTTTTATTTTTTTTATTAAGAAGGTGAGAATTAATTAAAGATTCTAGAAACAATATTTTAACATCATAATAATCAATACATATATCTGGAAATCTATGATATATTAAGCAGATTTTCATCATATTTAATATCACGCACTTATTCATATGCATGCTATACTATAACAAATATTAACTTCATCAGCTGACTTATGAATGCTATATTAATTCATTCCACTTTTTCCTTAAATGTTTGTTAACAAATACCCTACATGCGTTCCATCAATGTGAATGCTTAATTTGTTTTAAAATATGCTATGCTTTGCTAGATATATTTTGTTTGTTCATAACACTTATTTTTTCCGCAGCAACCTTCCTCACATTTAAACCTGCCAGCAGATTCCTCAAAACCTAAACAAATGGTATGTTGATAGATAATGTTATTGTGGAACTGTATAG